CGCGAGCTCGGCCGACCTTCACCTCGGTCGACCGGCAACCCCCGGCGGCTGCCACAGCCTCCTTCACTTCTTCGGGGGAGATGGAGTCGTCGAGGCCCCTGATCCGCAACTCTGCGGTCTTGATGGGCCTCGCGACTCTCACTCCTCCTGCCTCTGCCAGCGGAGCCATGGCGGCGCACAGTCTGTCCGCCCTGGCCCCGGGAATAATGAACCTAATGTTTACTAACTCTTTAGCATGTAACTATAGCTATCTTGGAAAACAAAAAAAGAAACCATTTCATAATTTGGTTGATTTTTTTACATTGTAAAAACTAAATACATAATAAATTAACTTTAGTAACATTTTGATGTGTGAAATTTAATTACATATACATACATGTCTATATATGATTTTATAAATATGTTACAGATATATTTTTTATTAATATTATTCAAACATTACAATGCAAAGTGATATATACGCGTTTGAATAATATTACTGAAAACGATATTTGATATCATACAAAACTTTATTATTTTTAAAATATTTTATTTATAATTCAATGCAATGTATGCAACGTGTATGCAAATAGTAAATCACGTTAAATAACATTTCTTGCAGATACAAAATTCTAAATATATGTATAGTTTCATATGTACAGTTACATATACTAAAAAGATTTAAAATAAAAATTAATGAAATATAGATACTATAGTTTTTCTTATCTATTTTTTAAAATCGGTTTACAGTAATATAAAAGTTTGAAGATGTTTTCATGTTACCGCGTTAGGGTCATTTTTATATCGACCTGATGCAGTATCAAGTAACTCTGCAAGCGACCCTGGGCTAATGTATTTCCATGTTGGTCTTGCCATTGGTTTTATTATATACTGATTCCGCTCCGAGTATTCTCCGACTGACATGCCTTTCAGACTCGTGTCTTTAGAATAGCTGTTTAAACCACGGAATTACGCAAGTTACTCCGAAAAGTACTCGTTAAACCATTATTAAGGAAATCAAGTAATTATGCAACACCCGTTTTAAGTGAAACCTCGAAATCGTGTTTTCTGATCGACTACAAAAAAGGCGGAATCGCCGGAATCGAGCTTTAAGAAGCCGCAAGAGAACGTTCTCACCCCTCTCCTACCGAGTCTTTAGGAAATAACTTGGAGAATGAGACCGAAAATGATTCCGAACTCATAGATGATAATTTTATAGAAGACGACACAAGCAACAATTATTCCACACAGTACACCGAGCAACTTCAGTCGCCTTTTTGTTCTCTTTCTTTCCTCACCTCTCAGACTCTCCTTTATACTCCCCTGTCCTTCCTGGAGAAATTCCCGTTCTTGATCTTTTTTCGTCCCTTCTTCACCAATCGCCTTTCTCTTCCCCCGAATTACTCATCTAAAAAACCCATCTAAAAGGGACATGAAATAGACATTGAAGAAGAAGATCCTCTCCCCTACCAATTACTTCATTTCCTATTATTAGCCAGAACCTTCCCCGTCGCAGATCCTCCTCCCGCCGCTCATCAACTAGATTTACAACAAAAATTCCCCGCCTCCTTCTGCCGTGCTGTCACTACACTCTCTCCCGATCACACTATTCTTGTAAAATTTCCTGGTTTCCCCGAAATCCGCGAAGTTCCTATTAACTATTTCTACCGTTTTTATTTTCCATTGTTTGCAGTAGTAAAGAAGATAATAGAAATTACCCTGGACTGAGATCACTCCACACATTTACACTATCATTCACATTCACATTAAGATAAGAAAACGAATGTAAGCTTCAGCTTTATAGCTTCAACTCTGAAAATATTATCTGTTAATGTAAGATTACTCAAGTACGATGACTATCAAAAATACAAACAATTAAAATGTCTACAATTTATTAAATCTCGAATCTCCATCCTGTAGCAATTCCATCCCTGTCATCCCTCAATTGATCGCTAGGTCCCAGGAAATTTAGATTCGTTTCTAAGTTCAAAAAAAGGACCGACGAGTGAGAAACATAGACCGAGTAACAGCGAGAAGTCTCGTTGACTCGTCTGCGTTGCCTACGATCCTGCACGACCCGCGCACTCGACTATCTCACTGGGTCACCGTGCCGGGAATAAACACACAAAGTGTCGTGTATCTTTGCGTCATTCCATAAGGGCCCGATCGTTACCGAAAGTCAAGACGTAACAATACAGGGTGCGTCGCCAAAATCCGGACAAATTTCAATTTGATATTCCCTCCGTTCAGTACCATTGGCAGATGTCGCGATTGGCATTCAAATAGCTTGACGCATGTACTAAACTACTATAACTTCGAAACAGTCGCAATGTTGAAACCCAGTGCGGAGTACAACCGAAGAGCCGCGATTATCGAAAGTATTCGCGCCGGGCGCTCGGCGACAGAAATCATTCGGTTTTTCGGGTATCCGAGATCGACTGTGTATGATGTCTTCGCAAAGTATCGGGAGTCGGAGAAGTCCAAGGAAGGTTCTGCAACACCGGCGAGGAAATTTCACTCGAAGGAACGCATTGTCAGGACGCCCGACATCATTCAACGGACTCAGGAGNTGATTTTTGAGGATCCAGGGCAGTCGATCCGAAAGTTGTCGGCGGTTGTTGGTGTGAGCGAGAAAAGTATGCGTCGAATCGTCGAGGAGGACCTTCGTTACAAGTCTTACACAATCAAAGTGAGACAGATACTTTCCGAAGCCGCTAGGACAAAGCGAGTTGAGCGCTGCAACCTGCTTTTTTGTTCCTTAAAACACAATGCTGCCGGAAGACTCAAGTTTTTTTCTGACGAGAAAATTTTTACTGTGGATGCGAAAATTAATCGAAGGAATGACCGCTGGCTCGCCCATGACCCTGATGATATCCCCATTGTTGCA